GCTGTAGAGGAGGAGCAATCTCCTAAATGAACAGAAAAACTCCTATTTGTTAAGTAGGGTCTAAACCAGGATAAAACTGTGCCTTTGATACCAACCAGCTGCTCTAATCGTGACAGTAAAATGTTGTGGCTGAGAACACCTGCAGATGTTTCCAAARATTTTTGAGACTAACAAATYTTGTCAGTTTTTAGTATCAAAGAGKTACTGGCTTAACAGATCCTATCCATGAATCTGTTRCAACATGGTTTCAGGTGGAATATGAAGGCTTAAAGCATCAGATCAAGGTTCTGGAGGAGGAGACGGAGCTCCTCAACAGCCAGTTACAGGATGTGTTGCGCCTGAAAGACATCTCAGACACTCAGCTGGAGGAGTCCCTGGAGTCTCTGAAGAGTGAGCGTGAGCAGAAGAAGCACCTGCGTCGAGAGCTGCTCCACCATCTCAGCATGTGCGACGTGGCGTACACTGGCAGTGCTCATCTAATGTTCACCTCTGCCCCACCTAGTGGCAGCGCCACCCCAACATCTCTGACATCACCTGGTGTAGAGGAGCCCACAAGGTAAATGTTACACACACACACACACACACAGAGCTGGTTTTATATCGTAATGTGTCCAGATTGTTTGACACGTTTACATGGGCATAAGTATTCACCATTTTTAAAACCTGTCCATTCTGGGCACTCAGAAAATGTTTGTTTATGTTCATTGCAGAAGTTTTAAGAACTTTTTTCAGTGTTTTTATTTTTTATTTTTTAGGGAAAGTTAACAACTGCGCATGTCAGTGCTTGTATTCTGAATAAAAGCCTGGTGCATGTAAACATTCGGATTGTTTAATCAGAATACATTTCAATCCGATCAAAAAAAATTCTGCATCAGAGGCGATTTCTCTAAGACTGCAAGGGAAGCTCAGCTCCCCCTAAAATGTAAGGAAAAAAAAATCAAATATATACTGTTGTGTGTACATGTCATTGACTATGCGCTACAACGTGCTCAACCTTTGTTCAGACTCAGCTTCTTATCACTGGTAACAACGCGGCTTTCCTCATTTCCTCATTTCACTCATTCAGCAGCTTCACAGAGCTTTAAACAGTCGGACGCTGAGCGTCTACAGAGCTCATTAGTGATGCAAAGACTGCAGCGAAACGAGACGAGTCACTGGCTAAATGCTGGCTTTGTCCCGCCCATCGGACGCTGAGGGTCTCTGGGGGTCTATGGAGCAGTGGGCTGGCTCGAACGCTCAGGATCTGCATGATGATTGGATGATTTGTCGGAGGCTGAATCCCTTTTTTGATTGACAGCAAAATGAACGAATCAGTGATCTTTTGGTGTAAACATTCCGGAGAATTTTTGCTTTTGTTTCTGTTCTGAATTGAATCTGAGACTTTATTAATCCTTTTAGCGGCATTTTCTTTGTTAAAAATGACTAGCGACAAATGAAGCTTCTATTTCTGGTGTTATTTCTGTAGAGTCAAACAGCAGGGCTGATCAACTCCTCAGATTAATTTGGTGCAAAAGATGGGGAAATAACAGGTCTTTTCAGCTGTCCTGGTTTGACAAAGTGAGCTGGCTGCTGTAAAAGACTGAGAAGAATAATCTGGAAAATGATTATAAAAGCATTGGATCAATTAATTCCTTTCAAAAAAAATCATCAAAGCAAAATTGTNTTGTATTCTGAATAAAAGCCTGGTGCATGTAAACATTCGGATTGTTTAATCAGAATACATTTCAATCCGATCAAAAAAAATTCTGCATCAGAGGCTATTTCTCTAAGACTGTAAGGGAAGCTCAGCTCCCCCTAAAATGTAAGAAAAAAAAATCAAATATATACTGTTGTATGTACATGTCATTGACTAAATATGCGCTACAACGTGCTCAACCTTTGTTCAGACTCAGCCTTTTATCACTGGTAACGACGCGGCTTTCCTCATTTCACTCATTCAGCAGCTTCACAGAGCTTTAAACAGTCGGACGCTGAGCGTCTACAGAGCTCATTAGCGATGCAAAGACTGCAGCTAAACGAGACGAGTCATTGGCTAAATGCTGGCTTTGTCCCGCCCATCGGACGCTGAGGGTCTCTGGGGGTCTATAGAGCAGTGGGCTGGCTCGGACGCTCAGGATCTGCATGATGATTGGATGATCTGTCAGAGGCTGAATCCCTTTTTGATTGACAATGAAATGAACGAATCAGTAATCTTTTGGTGTAAACATTCCGGAGAATTTTTGCTTTCGTTTCTGTTCTGAGTTGAATCGGAGACTTTATTAATCCTTTTAGCGGCATTTTCTTTGTTAAAAACGACTAGCAACAAATCAAACTTCTATTTCTGGTGTTATTTCTGTAGCTGCTTATGTTTGGAGACAGACTTCTATCACTCTTTGTGACTTCTTCTGTCCAGAGGGTGCTGCTGAGCCCCTTCACTGTCACAAAACACTCACAGGCGGACACACTTCACTCTAGACTCGTGCCAGTAACAAGCTGAACATATAGGCAGACAGTTTGAATGTTGTGGACCGGATTATGGCGAAGCCATTTGATAGTCAGCAGAACTGATCAACTCCTCAGATTAATTTGGTGCAAAAGGTGGGGAAAAGTAAGATAAAAAACATTTTTATTGATCCCACAGTGGGGAAATAACAGGTCTTTTCAGCTGTCCTGGTATGACAAAGTGAGCTGGCTGCTGTAAACGACTATAGAATAATCTGGAAAACGACTATAAAAGCGTTGGATCCATTAATTCCTCGAAAAAAATCATCAAAGCAAAATTGTTAAAGAAATATGAAATTGTTTAATTTTTATTTGTAT